TGATGAAGGTTTGTAGTTTGTTCTAAGTGCCCTTCGTGACGCGGCACCAAGTCTCTGATTCGTACAGTAGCATTGACTTCACATTGGAGTTGAAAATCCGGATCTTATTTTTGATACTGAATGCTGTTGATCTCCATACAGACTTGAGAGTAATGAAAGCTTGTCTTGCTTTCCCGATCCTCGCTTTGATATTGTCGTCAAAATGAGATATGCTCGCTCCACAATCGCATTTGAATCGGTAGATACAATACAATAAGATACAATTGTAAAGAAAACGATTTTCAGCATAACTGTAATGTCTATGTAGCTGGAGAAATAAATGTCCTGCCACGTACAAATAGGATTGCAAACCATATAAAACTTAGATGTCCTGCCTTTCTTTCAACTTCTCTTCATTTTGTTCAGTGAGGAGGACCGAAACAAACAAGAGGATTCCAGCTGTTGTTCTTCCCGTTTTAGGTCATCTGGTGTTTTTTCCTGATTTAAATTAGATATAAAAACTCAAATGTCCACTCTGGTAGTCTTCATTCTAATTGCCATCAAGTGGAATCCAAAAGAAGGAGCAACTGTCTTATCGAATAACTGAATTTTATTCATCTTTTTTGATCTATTGATTTATTTTTACTTCTAGACAAGCTGTAGATTTGAGTAAACTTGTTGTGGTATTGTTCATTCTCATATAAACACCGGTGTAATATCCCGTCTTTTAGAAATAATTTCACTAACTAAAATTAAACTTTCCCTTTCTGGAAATGTTGTGCTGCTTTTCTGAATGATTCCAATCAACACAGGGATGAATGGTCAACGAGTTTGACTTTGTGACCTGAAGGTCCTAGGTTCAATCCCTGGCAGGGTTATGCTTGAACACTGCAGAAGAGTTCCAGAATAGGATGGAGCAGCTTTGCAGGGCTCCTTGATGTTGAATCGTGACGAAATCGAACAACTGAAAATTCTTTGACTGAGTAGAATAGTTATTGTGTAACAGTGAGCTTGTCAGATGGCATTTCTTATTCTTCTTACACTCCTTAACTCGTCAACAGATTTTACTTACATGAGTCGTTACACAGTTGTAAAGGAACTTAACCGTAAGTTCCTATTATTTGCGAAGATGCTCCGAATCGATAACTACTACGATGAATTATCGACTTTAACTCCAAAACACCAGTATTGTAGTAACTTATATTGTTCATCAATTAAAATTGAAAATGATACAGAAGTCTATAAACAAATGTTTTATAAGTAATGCACCAGTACTTTTATTCGTATTCTTTGGTCTTCTTCCAACTTGTACACGATTGAATTATTCGCGCCTTCGAGTTGCCCGCCAATGGCTACCAAGGTCAATTAACCAACGTTCAATGTTCGCATTTCTTTACAACCGTTGAAACAAATAGTCGAATAAAGATTAAAACTTATCAAGTCAAAATTGTTTCATTTAGTTGATGATGATGACACGATGGAGATGGACAACACTGATGATCAGTTATTCTGAATTTAGATATTTAGCTTTTATATTTTACTATATACTCTGATTAGTCAATAAGTAGTAACTAATGTCATGCGTCTTATTCATGGTGTCGAATCAGACTGAATTCTACCAATTACTTTTCCAGTGTAACTACCATTCTAGGTGGCTTACCATCACGGTGCATTGTAAATTTTTGTTACATGGTTAGAGGCGATCGGAAAAAAGTCCAACATCTAGGTTTCGTGCTTCCTGGCACTCGTCACCAAGGCGTATTTTCAATCTTGAAGGAACGCATGTCCTTTTTGAGATTGGAACTTGGGTCCAATCAAAGCATCCATTACAATCCTCCAGAAGGTCAGTCGCGAGCCCGAATAGCTCAATGTCAACGCCTCTGGCTGAAGGACAGGGTGGCTTGGGTTCGAATTTCAGAATGGATATGAGTTTCTTTAACACTGCAGATACGCCTTACCGACTGGTGATTGACAACAAGCACGAAACCTGTATCCATGACTTCCTGCTGATTTCCTACAGCCATTTAACGACAATTCTAGTATACGAGTTGTTTTCCCCTAACCAATCACCCAACGTTGTCAGAAAAACATATTTTGTGCTTTCTTCTAAAAAAAGACAGTAAAATAATAATAATTTTACAGTAGAATATGATTAATTACTAATAAAGGAAGTTTTCTTAGTTTTTAGAAACTTCATACAGTTTTTCTACTGGCTTTTGTCAAGTACGCTAAATCTAAAACAATTTTAATATGAATAGAGAAAAAATAGTTACTCACTTTGATTAACTAACTTTAATTTTCTTTTTTAGTGTTCCTTTACAAGGATTCGATTGATTTCAAGATTGATCGCGAATTAGCTTCAGTTAGAGAACGACTGAAAGCTAACAAGGGGTTCTGGATAGCTGTGTCGTCCTAGTTTGAGACTCTTTGAGTAGTACACACTCATAAACCCTCAGGGACGTGAATCGGTAGGAGTTAGAATTTATGGGTTAATGGATTCCATCCCAGTTGACGAAGAGTCAACAAGCTTGCCTGGTAATCCGAAAGTCCTTAACTCGAGTTTTGGTGAGGTTCCAAAACAGGGAAGAGAGAGCTGTCCAGCACTCCCTGGATTTTTAGTAGTCCTCTAACTGAAGTTGGTTCGTGATCAGTCTTCTAACTATCTTTAATTTGTAGGCAAATTAATGCTAAGTAATCGAATAATTAAATACACTGAGGGATAAAAGGAGTGAACTACAGGTTGTTGTTAAGCTTGTTTTTATACACTGAATAGTTGATATAAGAATAAAACTTGTGTACTGTGGTAAAGTGGAATTACACTGAAGAGTTACAAGAATATCCTCTAACACAGTGCACAAGTTCTATTCTTATTTCAACCCATAGCTGAGAATTTCTCGGAGACAAAAGAAAAATACCATAAGGGATTATTTTATTCTTCAGATCAGACAGAATTACGTCACATGATGTACTTTAGATTACTATAATGCTTAAAGGTCCTGAATGAAGAGAAAATACTACACAATAAACTCTGCTGAAAATTCTGTGTATCATGTAAACTTTCGAAGAGTATAAATCTGCTGTTTTTATTATTATTATTGTTATTTAAGGTCTCCGCTGACATGTTTGCTCCTAGCACGGGCTCTTCGACGACGTCTGAGCGCTAAAATGATGTCATTTAGTGGAATCCAAGACACACATTTCATCTTATCTGGGACTCGTCGGCTGGATGTACCTGAGTGATGGTGTTCTCAAACGCAGTACTTATCGGTACAACCGCCAAAGTGTTTCCCAATTAAAATAATTGGTCTGTGTTAACAATTCTGTCCAATATAATCAATCAATCAATAAATCAATCACCGGGAAATACAAAAATAACTTAAATAAAAACTGATACCTATCGTAGAGGAGGTAGATCTCTTCGCCTAGTGGATAACGCTTTGGCGTTTGAAGTCTCAGGGGGGAACACCACCACTCACTGAAGATTGCAGGTACATCCAGCTGACGAGTCCCAAAGAGAATGAAATACGCATCCTGGATTTCCTTTCTAGTCACCATCTAATCTACTAAAGACTATCTTGTTATAACACTCAATTTATTATTTTTACATGGTCAAGTTCGCTTAGTTTTCACTATTATTATTATCTACTTACTACATAGAATTAGTAGTGTGATCAGTACACGTGTTAGAGAATTATTCTTTCTTTTGTCTTTACTAAACAATTAATAATAATAATTTCATTTTATCTACTGAAGGTTTAGGAAAAAATAAGTTCTTCTCTGAATAAGTAAACATGGCGTTTACCCACTCATAGTAGCTGTAGATATATTGAAATAGAGGTAATAAATAATTTCTATATTACTGCGTATATGTTTAGGCAACATATAGTTTATATATATGTATATATATATTTTTAAATCGTGACAAATCTGATGACAGCAGCACATATTTATTCACAGATTGAAACTTTGTGTAATTAATCAGTAATGAACTTCTCTCATTATGATTTATGGCGTTACTATTTGCTTTCTAATCTGATGATTACTCGAAAATTATTTTCTCTACATTTCTGTGGCCTTTTCGTTATACATTATACATTTACACAGGTGATTTTATATAAGTAGTAAATAATAGTAATAATAATAATGATAATATGAATTTCTATATTTCTAGGCTCATCACCTGCCTATCTTTGGATTACATTTCATCTGTCTTTATATGAGCTTATTTCTACTTTAAAAGCAAATCTTATCTTCCAGTGCAGATTTATTTGTGCGCCAATAACAGTTTCAGAGTCATTGGAAACCAGAGAGCATTAGATAGCTGTTTCGTCATAGTTATGGACTCTTCAACGGTGCACACCCACAAATTCTGATGATTATGACCTAGCCTGGTAACCTGGAGGTTTCGGGTTCGCCCCCTTGCTAGCGCCGTGGGTGTGCACTGTTGAAGAGTCCCAAACTAGGACGAAACATTTTTTTATTCAGTTCTCTCTGATTTCCAATGATTCTCTAAATTGACGTTAGCTTTTGGCAATAAGCTAACGACTGAATTTAATCCAAATCTGTACAATACCTTTGTTGTAAATTTTATAGACCTACATCACTTTCACAACATACCTGAATGTACCGAAAACAAGTAAAAGGTTATATAAATACTAATATTTATTGTGTTCTTTATTCATGCATCAACTGAATGAGTTATTTTAGAATTCTTGAAATGAAATAAATTACTGAAGCCTTATAAATCGTCACTTCTCCTACCTGACTAAGCCATTCAAAATCTGTTCACACTTATATCAAATTAATGTTACTTCCTTTTCTATTTAACTTCAATTTTCATGCTTTTTAAGTATGTTCTAAACTGGTACTGAGTAGGTGAATGAAGCAATTTCTGAATGTTTCCATTATGGATAAAATTTTATTTCGACAAAGTCACTGGTGACCACGTTTCGAGCACAATTCCTTACTGCTCATAATCGTACTCATATAACTTACCTCCTTCATTTATATACATGAGTAAAAAATAATTATACATTTGAATAAAGTCAATATAAGACTTGTGTGAAACAGAATGGAAGATATAGTACATTCAGAACGAATATTAGTGTTAGCAATAAAATACAATAGAATTAGGAATAAGACGAGTGTTGTTAGTCAATAAGATGGGAAATAAGACAGGTGTTTTTATAGTCAAAATAAGTAACTTGTTAGAATGTTACAATGTGAATTGAATACATTTTAACACTATTTATTATCCTCCTCTGATTTGACTAGTGGTAATAATTTCTTCCAGTCATATCTCTGGTATTTGCGTTGAGTCAATTCTATTGCATGTGGTGTGTTGGATGTAGATTCACTCGATGAACCAGGATTCAGGAGTCAATCTCTTTCTCCACCCTATTGTGTGGTTGTGTGTTAATGCATGCAGTGCTATTGCTGAGCTATTTTCTAAATTACTTATCTTCGTGAGGTCAATCATTCTAACCTTAGCTAAATTTTTATGTTCTGATAATCTGACTACTCCTGATCTACTAGTTTGACCTATGTAGTTGACCTCACAGCTTCGTTTTTATATATCTGACTTTAGATATGAGTAATGCCAGTTAGGGTTTAAGAAGGGGAATGAATCCCTTCAGAATTACATATACAAAGTGATTATTGGTAATCGCAAAAACGAAGCGGGGCTGCCTGCCTGTTAACTCCCATCGCTTTAAATTTCCTCTTGTTATATTAGAAGTATTACAGTCTTTTTTCTAAAATAAAACATCAAGGTTTTGTTTTGTGTTTTTTTTTTCTTCATTTAACACCAGGACACAGTTCTATTCAATGATACAATTTATTATAATATTCATTATGGACGTCAATCAGCTAGTGAATCAGATATTGAAGAGGTTGCAGTTGCTGCTGACATTCATCGATGTATTTTAGACTTTCCAAAAGGCTATGAAACAGTTGTCGGTGAACGTGGTTTAAAACTAAGCGGTGGAGAAAAACAACGTGTTGCTATCGCGCGTAATTTGTTGAAAAATCCACCAATTATGATTTTAGATGAAGTAAGTATTGTTGTTTTCTTTTGTTTTGTTTTTTCTTGTTTTTGTTTTTAAGTATTGACTATAGCTATATACTACTGATTGATTCAGATGAGTAGTTGTAACCCCCTTGTAATATCAGAAGGTAAGACACGGAAGCCAAGGTATGTTTTCAAGTGATCAGACGGCTACTTATATCTATACAGTTCATATTCTTTATCGAATCATTGAACGAGTGATTTTGGTTTACTACATTAAACGACATGAAATAGAATGTTCAAATACATATATAGAGTATTCTGTTGTTAATGCAGTTTTGAACTGTCGGAATATGTGGGAATAATATCCCATTGAAACACGTTGTCTGTATCGAACCAACACACTCGTTGATCCGATCTTCTTGGTGCTTGCGTCTTTGTTTGCTTGTCTTGCTGTATCCAGTTCCGGAGCTCGCTGACGCCCACCCGCTTCTCTTTGTTTGCATTTCTGATCGTATATACGTGACCCCATCTCACGGTGACCGTTTATGATCCTTCCCACTCTGGGAGCAGTTTGCGTGACTCAGGCGCGTATTCGCCGGTGTTTCGCCTCACACTGTCATATGCTGCCGTTGCCTGACCTCTCAGCAGCGTTCCAAGTAAAAGCCTCTTCGCTGACGGATCTTGAACACCATTCAACTCCGTGACAGCCTCGATGTCCTGTTAGAAGATGCATATGTCTCCTTCTTCAAATAGTGCAGGGCATAGGCTTTTCATTTGTGGGCAGGCAGTGACACCAAATGTAACAGTACAAGGCGAGACACGGAAGCCAAAGGTATATTTTCAAGTGATCAGACCGTTATTTACACCTATATAGTTTATATCCTTTAACCAATCACTGAGCCAATGATTTTGGCTTACATTAAACGACATGAAATAGAATGTTCAAATACATATATAGAGTATTCTGTTGTTAATGCAGTATTGAACTGTCACAGAATGTGAGAATAATATTCCGTTGGAACATACATTGTCTGTATCACACCACCATACACTCACTTACACCAACCAGTAGTGCTTGCTAGCCAACAAGATCGAAGTGGTCTAAACACCGGATGGCTGTATTCGCTCATTTAATGCTGAGCTTATCAGCATAAATGGTGTATCCCGTTTGGTTCAGTTGAGACAGCTGAATCAATCAGTCCTAACCACTTGATTTCTGACTAGCTACATAGGCAAACTGATAATACCATTAAATCAAATTCGCCGTTTACAAACTAATTTCTTGGAAAGGTGAACTAACTGATCGGAAGAAAGGCTGGCTATCTTATCAAACTACCAAAGAAGGGTGACTTAAGCCCCTGCAAGATTTGACACGGAATCATGCTTTTCTCAACGCCAAGCAAAATACTAAGCATAGTAGCATTTTCAACATTTACTTTACTAAAAAGTGATATTTATTTCCAAACTACATGAATATTTAACTTTCATTTTCCTTCTTGTCGTCCATTTCTAAACTAGCGAAGAATTTTTCACTTCATAACCGTTTGATTTTACACTTATTGCGTCACACGAGAGTAATTAATTCTTGATGTAAGTGTAACACTTGGGCATTGTGATAGGATGTAATTCCATATTAGATAAGTTTATTTTAAATGTCACACAGTGATGCAATAGTAACAACTGGTTAACGTTTCGAGCATAAATTATTGTTCTTCTTCTTTGTCTAGAGTTGTTTCTCTCCACTTTTGACATACTTGTAGGCGGACTTTTTCTCAGCTTGTCGGGAGGCGGTTGTTTTTTATTCCTGTACAAACTGTAGATTTGGTCCGCTTATCCATATATCTGAGAAGACTGAGGTTTCGTCTGATGAATACTAGTTTTCTAAAAATTTTCCTGCCACCTTTCCACCGCCGTCATGAGTTACAACTATTCTCTATTATTTCAAACACTATTATCACTAGACTATTTGCTGCCTTAGAGGCTTCATTACGAGCTGAAGTCAGTTAGAGAATCACTGGAAAACCATGAGGTGTTCTGGACAGCTGTTTCGTCCTAGTTTGAGACTCTTCGATAGTACACACTCCTCGTGGCTCAAACTCAGGACTTGATGATCACAAGGCGAGCTCTTAGGTCATCTAGCCGCCAGGAACCTATCCAATAGTCTATGAATTCACGTTCTGTAGCGAAAGCGCTGTCTGGTACTCCCTGGTTTTCAAAGGGTTCTCTGACTCATCAAACCTGTAACCAATTAAATCCCTGCAGAAAAAAAATACTTGGAAAATTTACTTCGTTTTAACAGTAATATTTTTTAAATGAAGGCGATGATTTCCTCATTGAGTGACAGTTCACCCACCACCCTTGCATGTATTCACCTGTTTATGTTCACATTTTAGAATTTTACTGATAAGATTTATACTCTAAGCTTTTGTTATGTTTTTCAATAATAATAATAATACGGCAAGCCTATTTCATAGGTGATTATTGATTATCTGACGAGAGAAAAAAAAGCCATGACTATTCGTATGCCTATTTTTTAATATTTATTATAATTGACCTTTTTTATGATTGGTTGTCAGTAGAAATTCTTCATAGCTTTTGTTTTAAAAAAGCAGTTCATTGTCTGTTGAATTATTACAACATTTAACGTCGACTGATCCCACATTCCATAGTGTATTTTTCGACGTGGGAGATTAAAGAGACATATAACTTCTCCTAGCATAGGCTGGTTTGTGGTGTAAAATTTAAACTAGCAATGCCTGATCTGAATTTAAAAACAAACAAAAAATGAAACCATCTACGATCCTGTAACTGGGATAATGTCAACCTGGTAAAAACAGAAAACCATAAACTTAAAGAATCACTATGTCCATAAAGTTGTGTGATGATGGTTTGGATTCGCCATCCGAATTCGCTACCAACTCAGTGAGTGATAACCTTCCCAGTGCAATTCGAACCAAGAATGCAATGAAAGGGAATCAGTTATGGGGCAGTGTGTAAACAACGTGTCGTTGGACCTCAGAACTGCTTACATAATGACACCACCTGATGAAACTAATTCCATAAAGACAACGAGGGTTGAACACGCGAAGTTGTGGTATACCTTCGGCTTGAAAAAGGCGAATTTCACAGGCGTAGATCAAGACTGAACGCGCTGAAGAATTATTACCTTTACTTTTAATGGAGGACAGGAGTAAGACAAGGCTGCCTACTATCGCCAATGATTTTCTTGATTGCAGTAGACTGGATAATGCGACAAACAGTGGGCAATGAGGAAACAGGCATAAAATGGACTCACACAAAAAACTTGGAGGATCTGGACTTCGCCGATGATATATGTCTGATTTCCCACAAACTGGAAGATATGCAAGCGAAAAGCAACAAGTTGGCAGAAGAAGCATCCAGAGAAGATACGACTTCAGGTGAACATAGAGAAAACAGAGGTGATGAAGATTCCTGGACAAGAACAACAACAGCAACAACAACAACAGACAACGATCAGCATAAATGGAAGGAACCTGAAAGAAACAACCTCCTTTACCTACCTGGGAAGCATCGTCTCAACTACAGGCGGACTGAACTGACGAGGATATCAAAGCAAGAATCGGAAAAGCAAGACAAGCTTTCACTACTCTCAAGTCTGTGTGGAGGTCAACAGCACTCATCATCAAAAATAAGATCCGGATTTTCAACTCCAATGTGAAATCAGTCAGTGCCACTATACGGATCAGAGACTTGCACTGCGCTTCATAAAGAGCATCTCAAACAAACTACAGACCTTCATTAACAGTTGTCTTCGCTCATTATTCAAGATCAGATGGCCAGAAAAGATCAGCAACAGAGATCTCTGGTAATGAGTAAACCAACCAGGAACCGATTTTGAACAAAATAGGCTGGAAGAAATTGAGATGGATTGGCCATACTCCGAGGAAACAATGCATCAAGTGACATCACTAGACAAGCCCTCGAGTGGAACCCGAAAGGGAAGTGGCGAGTTGGTCGTCAGTGCAAGGGTAACTTGGAGGAGGTCATGTGAAGAGGAGATGAACACGTGTGGGCAGACTTGGAGCCAGGTGAAGACTGTAGCAGAGAACCGAACGCAATGGAGACGCACGGCTGAAGCCCTATGTTCCTCTAGGAATTAAAGGAAACAATAATATTAATAATACTTTTAATGGACATACTAACTTTGCGACGGCACCAGAGAGATAATCCAGGCTGGGATATGTTTCCATGGCTTTTGGTGTGCTACTAAAGATCTAATCCGCCACTTCTCAGCTAATAGTCACACAACCATCTAAACATCTGGACATCTAGATTAATTACCACGCATTTTGTGGCGTGTGCTACTGATTGCATCCATTAGTAGTATATAAAATATCAAACATAGGAGAGATAGGTTTGACGATAAATATAGGAAATGAATCAGCATTGCGACAAAACATGGGAGACATACAAAAGAAAATAAAGAAACACAATACGAGGGGCAGAAGTAGCACAACCCTGGAGATCTGTTCAAATGACGATATTCAGATATGGTGTACATAATTTGATTGTATAGACATATCAAATTCCAAATATACACATTCCTTTACCAAGTCTGTCGTCTTCTACTGTTACACTATGACAGTACTTTGCACTTAGGTGGTGACAGTACAATAATTTCATAGATTAATTACCAAATGATTCGTGTTGCCTGTATATTATCTGAGCTACATTCTAAAGGTCAAAATGTCCTTCTCCAGATGATATACAATACCACGGTGCACATCTTCCACAGAGGTTTTCAGAAGGTTATTGTAGGTGTAGTCAGAGGAAAATGGAGAAATTTGTTGATTCTATCTGCAATATTGAGAAACCTCTCAGGAGCTCTTCCCTCTAAGAGACAGTTTCAAAGGACATCCCTCTCTAAAAGAGTTGAAGGCAGACCTGATATCAAATTATAAAACTATTATTTGTCTGAAATGCGTCTGTGTCCGTTCTATCTAAAAGTTACCCAGCCCGATCTTCACAAATCCATCTTCCATGCTTTTCACAAAGCCTAAAGAGCATGACGTCACAGGCGACAAACTAATATCCTGATGACTGTTACGCGCATTAAGTTGACCCTGTTCAAACGCAGATACAATAACGACTTCAATTTAAATTATTGAGACTCATAATTTAACATACTTCCCCAAATTATCTAGTCACTCCCCTAACTGGAGTCTCAGCACCACCTCCTTTAAAAAGAGCTGGGGGCATGTTGTCTGTACCGGGCATTTGAGTACATAGAATTTCTACCGAACTTCCACTTCCTTAGGTAAGTCGAAGTTAGCTGGCCATGGGACTCTGTGATTTACAACAATGAATACTCACCTTTTTGTCTGGCTAAACTACTTCTAAATGTGCTGTGCTTAGCATTCCATGGGTCTGTTTAGGCTGTAAATTTGCATGTCATGTGTCTCATGGACCATGCCACTGATCCATCTGGTGAAAGTATAGCCTTCTTCTGAGAGATTTGAAAAAAGACAACAAATCTGAAACGTAGAAACGACACAACACCAAAATCAGTAGGACCACCTAATTGGTTGAAATCCGTTTTCATCTTTGTATCTTAGGGAGTGGAAATTTGCCATCCAGTAGACTTATCGAAAGTAAGAGAAGATTTTGAATTGATACACTCATTGTGAAACAAACTATGCATTGAAATGGTCTAGGTTTAAAACGAGGGAGATTCTATTGTTAATATTATCTCTGTTTCAAACAAGTAGTTGAGTTGTGAGCATTTGATTTTCCTGTTAAATATCAACAACTAGCTAATGCCCATTGCAGCCCTACAGGAAGTTAATTGCAAGCCTGAATATTTTAGTGTTAACGTCTCTGGCTGCAGTACTTTGTGACCTCAGTTCGAATCTCAGGAGGCACATGAGTTCCTTCAAGATTCCAAGAATGCCTTGTCTGTCGACTGGTGAGTGCCAATGAACACGAAACTTATATTCAGAGGCTTCCTGTAGATTACCTCCAACCATCCAACAGCAATAATCTCCTTTGTTGTAGGTGAACTTATTGGTATTTTGAGCTCAATATCCCAATAATTTGATCAGTAATCTGTGTTACCTAGTGGCGAAATTGTTCACTGTTTGCATGACGATGAATAAAGTCGTTACAATAATGTCAGTGAGATTTTCAACGGACGTCTAAGCTGATATTCAAAGCTTTGTCAATAAAATGCAGAGCTACACGAGAGTATAAACTCCTAGAACATTATTTATTGCTTTACCGAATAGTCTTCGCGAATTTACCTCATAATTCTTTTGTCATCAAATACCTTGTTTATCTGATACGGTAAACAGTTTCTCTCGTAATCCAAGAGTCGAATCTTATAAATATCCTTAGTGCCACTGCTCGATTCAGAAATACACATCTAGTATAGTGTAATGTTTTCTGTATGGAACTAGAAACCAACCAAGAACCTATTGCTCAACAAACACACCGAAGAAATTAGAGATGATTCGGCCACGCACTAGAAAAACCGTGGAATGACATCACGCGCCACGCCAGCGCTCGAGTGGAATCCGAATGGGAATCGACGAATCGGGTGTGTTTCCGAGAGTGACATGGAGGAGATTGTATGAGGAGGAGATGAGAGACTACAGGCAATTGTGAGACCGCAGAGAACAGAGAAGTGCTGTTGAAGCCCCCTACGTTGCACTCAGAACCCAAGAGAATAATAACAATAATAGCGTTATGTTTTCTAAGTGTAACATTTAATACTTACCTAAACAAATTTGCATCCAGTCGATATTATCACTGTCTTACAACCTCTTAACAGTTTCCATTACTATTTGTCTACCTTTTTTTAGGCTACATCAGCATTGGATACTGCAACAGAACGTAATATTCAAGCTAGCTTAAATCGTATTGCACAGAATCGGACAACTCTGATAGTTGCTCATCGTTTATCCACTATAACTCATGCCAATGAAATACTTGTCTTGCATGAAGGTGAAATTATTGAACGTGGAAAACACTCTGAACTATTAGCAAATCCTGACAGTCGTTATGCCCAATTATGGCGTCAACAAAGTGAGGCGCAACAGTCATCTTCACCAGTGAACAACAGCACTGAAATATCAAATGATGATACAGCTAGCACAACACATCACCCTGTTCGTGTCTAATTATTATTTCGATTGACTTTAGATAGAATTATAAATTTTTTTTAATCTTTAGAAGGGGGTTACACTTCTTTTTTCTTTTCGTTTCATTCAACAAAAATGCCTTTTATTTTATTAAATATTATTGTTGAGATGTGTATGTTTGTAATGCTCTGTTAGTAGCGATCTGATCATTTATGTTGTATAGTATACATTGATCATTCAGATTGTATTGACATTGACTTCACCATGTGTGTGTGTGTGTCAGTGTGCGTGTGTGCGTGCATTGTAAATACATTATTTTTGCCTAATTCTTTGAGTACAACATACACATTGATATACATTCACACATACTAATAATATATGTGTACACTGTGTAGTATCAATACATAGATTTCGTCTAATGTCATCGAATTTCACTTTAGTCTTGTCGTTTATAAATGCAAAACTAGTCAACTTAAACAGCGTGTCTGTGTGTGTGTGTGTGTGTGTGGTTTGAACTGATGAATACGCCTATTTTAAAGCTTGTGTCAATTCGACTGATTACGTTCATGTTGCTTGCTTCTTCTTCGATCCTTCTTCTTCTTTGCCAACTTGTAAACGACATGTTTTCATCGTTGTCATTGTTGATAGTTTCTTTTTTTTTGTTATTCGAAGAGATATTGTGTCATTGAACTGCCATGTTTTCTTGTGTACCTCATCGAAGCTAATAGACATTAGGGAATAACTAATGTTCATGCGTCTTGTCTTTCGTTTAGTGTTGTCAAGTTTGCAACGTGGCTACCGTGCTAGGTGGCTTGGTATCACAGTATTGAAATCAGGGGATTAGTGTACGAATTTGTATTTCTTGAAGTCAGTTGGTGGATGGATGGTGACTTGCAGTGGAAACCAGGATACGCATTTCGTCCTTTTTGGGACTCGTCAACTAGCTGAATGTACCTGCATTTCCCAGTGAGTGAGTTATGGTATTCCCATCGAGGCTTGAACCCAGTGCCCGTAGTTTCAAACACCAAAGCGTTATCCTCTAGATCACTTGAGCTACGAGAGCCACCTCTTGTACAACAGGTCTTATTAATTATTTAATTCAGTTTATAGATGCGCATCCTGGTGGATTCCACTGCTAGTCACCATCCACCAATTGACTTCAAGTTGTATGACCAGACAACGTCTAAGCATCTGCACAAGGAGCCAACATGTCAACCTGAGACCGAGCAGTTCGGTCCAAACAATTGATGGAAAAATCTGTGTGTGTGTGTGTGAATTAAAGATCGTTTATTTTAATTATAATGCTGTGTACACATTAACTTATACAGTCTCGATACCTAATCTGTCGAATTTTACAACGAAAAGTAATCACTGGATGACACCTCAAATTAACATGAGACACATCTCTCAATTGTATTGCAGTCAATTCTTGTGAAGTAAGAGATGAGGTCACATAGCTCAACAGTCTAAATAAACTGACTATTAAAGTTGGCTTATCTGTCGGACTCTATACTTAATACTGATGCATAAGTTAATATTATTACTGAGGGATACAACGTTGTTGGTTCGTCTAATTTGATTAGAATACACCTCAAGGATATCAAAGCAAGAATCGGAAAAGCAAGACAAGCTTTCACCACACTCAAGTCTCTGTGGAGGTCAACAGCACTCACCATCAAAAATAAGATCCGGATTTTCAACTCCAATGTGAAGTCAGTCAGTGCTACTATACGGATGGATCAGAGACTTGCACTGCGCGTCATTAAGAGCACCTCAAACAAACTACAGACCTCCATTAACAGCTGTCTTCGCTCAATACTCAAGATCAGATGGCCAGAAAAGATCAGCAACAGGGAGGGATCTCTGGGAGCGAACAAACCAGGAACCGATTGTGAAACAAATAGACAGAAAGAAATGGAGATGGATTGGCCATACTCTGAGGAAACAAACCATTAAGTGACATCACTAGACAAGCCCTTGAGTGGAACCTGGTCGATTGGGAAGCGGTGAGTTGGTCGTCAGTGCAAGGGTGACTTGGAGGAGGTCATGTGAAGAGGAGATGAAAACGTGTGGGCAGACATGGAGCCAGATGAAGACTCTAACAGAGAACCGAACGCAATGGAGACTCACGGCTGAAACCCTATGTTCCTCTAGGAATTAAAGGAAACAATAATAATAATAATACACCTCTAGAACAAGACACCATAGCTAACCGACCGATTGAAGTGATTTCCCACACTCAAGATAAACACAAAAGTCAAACTGAGGAAAACGACAACATTAATCAGCAAACTAATCTGATTGGTTGCATAACATCAAAATCTCTCAGAAAATTAATCTACAAATAAACCAATCAAAGCTGTCCAATCAGCTTTCGCCTCCTTACACACCTAATTAATGCTATGCAATGAAACTATAACAGGAGTATATTTTGAACTTTAAAAATCAATAAATAACCTTGGTTCGCTAAAGTAGATATAAGTATTTAATTAAACTGCTTTATAAAATCTATCCTATTGTTGTATACATTTTTATTCAAATTAAAAATAATTTAACAAAGAATAAAAATAAGTTGTTTCTTTCTTTTTTTTTAATTTTAAGAAAGATAGAATGGAAGTAATAATTTGATACTGTCTATCGCATAGCTTTCAATTAGTTGATCTAGAAATTTCTGTTCACCACTGTCTAATAATTAATACACTTGTGCGCACAATTAACTTAGTTATTATAGAATGATATAAGCCAATCTATTAATTATGCCAATAATAATAATAATGTTAAATCTAATAGTAATACAATAAGTGATAAATATACTATTTAATCAGTTTTCTCTATTTCATGAACAAATTTTGTATAAGTAATTAGTTGAATAAAAAATACCAGTTGATTTAGGCCATGAGTACATTCTATCTGTCTAACTGTAGCTTGAATTTTAACAAGAATTAATGCCTTCCTGACTGATAATGATAATAATGATAATAAAGCGCGTTGAATAACATTATAAAATTTCTCTGTTTACTAACTGTTACCTAGTAACACTTTTGCGGGAAAAAATATCACACTGTCATTTTCAATCGATGCTGAATAGTTATCATAGGATATATTATTATACTGATATTCTACATACACTATCTGATTGTTATTCATATAAAAAAGGTGATTTCTTCCTTTCTCTCCAATAAATGGATGTCTCTAGACTATATGATATGAAGAGAAATTCAATTCACAAGTCATAAGGAAAAATCTGTTGTTGTCATTGTTATTACTTTATTGAGCAGTAGACTGGGTATATTATTGTTTAAAAAAATTATTCAGTTCAGTTAGTAATTGATGAATAACCCTCATTCAGGGATTAATAGAAATTGAACAGAACAAGTAGTTCAGCAATGGCTTACTGACTCACTGCAACAGTTCGAGTCGCCACGGATACAGCAGATCACAAAGACTGAATCCATATGCGCTAGCCATTGAGAACGATTTTGAGCTATATCATCAATTGTCTCCATCAACAACTGGTTCTCAGAATCCTGATGACCTTAACTAAGAAGCCGCCACCTCCGTATGTGGTTTCACGTCGCCAGTGGAACATAGAGGGCTTCAAGCTAGAGGCTTGAAGTTTCTGTAGCAGCGTTTCTTTTATTTTTACAGGATGGGGTTGTTAGCCTCATCCCCAACCTTCCCTCTTTGCCAACTTTATTACTGGCTTAGCTAGGTAAAGAAGTCTGTCGGCCGGGAATCGAACCTCGGATCATGTGCATGGTCGGCGAGTGTCCTAACCGCTGTGCCACCGACGCACACACAGGCTTACACTTACTGTTAAAGATTTCATGAACTGATTTCAATATTCGGTCTGTCGACCACTTAGTGTTTTCCAACGTAATCCTATGTCAGCTAACACTGCTTGTCAAGGTAGGTTATTTTCGATGAATTCATTTTCTTTAGATATACGATAGATGCGTATGCTGTATAAAAGGGTTGAAGAACGCTAACCTGTATGGCTGAGGAAAAGTATCAGGGGATTTCTAAGGAGTATGACAATTGAATGTGCGTCTGTGGCACAGCGGCAGAATACTCGCCGAGCACGCACTTGGTTCGGGGTTCGTTCAGTGGCTGACGCACTCCTTTACTTCGCTAAGCCAGTATTATGACTGGTAAAGAGGGAAACTTGGACACGAGGCCAGCAACCTCATCCCGTAAAAATAAACACCACTGCTACCGAAACTTCAAACCTCTAGCTTGAAGCTCTATGTTCCACTGGGAACGTAAAGGAATAAAAAAATGAAAACTGAACACCTTGGAGACACTGACAGTTCTATCTCAACAAACGCCTCTGTTAAAGTAGTCTACAAAGTGAAGAACAAATTTGCCAAAGACAATACACTTTCGTCTGCTATGCATTGCTGAATCTCTAAATATTCAGATAGAGGAAATGGAGTTGTGTTTTTAAGAGAAAATTATTCAACCGCTTCTACTATCATGGTAACAATCTTATTTTCTACCAAACTGACTTTTTTTTAAATTCTTTTGTGTTTCTTTGCAGCTCTTACGTCATTATCATGTTTTCCTTCGTTTCTATTGGCATCCTGACTACAACTCATTCAATGAATTATTTAGCTTACTACATAGTTCTAGTACCATTAGTCAACTTCTCTTATATATTGAATAATGTTAAAAGCCATGGTTGTGACAACTCATCACTTTTATTGTTATCATCTCCATTTTTGAAAACTATGGAGAAACTTCTCTTGCATGTTATTAAACATTCCTTGAATTATTTTAATGACGTAAAGCAGTTGGCTTAGAAGTTCAGTTGAAGCACATAAGATTCTGCCGTTGTACTTCACCACAATATTGTTTTAAGTCTTGATAAAGGTGCAAAGTTTGTTCAAGCCTCCTTTTTAGACTACACTGCTTGCTGCCTTCTGACTCTTTTCCTAGGGCACTTTTAATAAACAAGCTGATTTCAGTAAAAACTGAGTTCTGGGTCACACGGTGGCTGTTTTCTTATTTTCGGGGTAAAAGAAACAACCTACTGTTTTGAATGAAAAGTGTTCCAATTCGTTGCTAACGGAAACTGATGTGCCTCAGGGTGCTGTACTTTCTCCATTTCTTTTTTCTGTCTTTTTGCATAACCTTCCATATTCTTGAAGAGCTAACTCTGTCATATTTGCCGATGATCTTACCATTTCTGTTCCAGTAATTTCTACTTTGGATTGTTCTTAAATGAAGAGATTCCTGTCTGAAGTTAACAAATGGTCTCACCTAAATGGTCTTAAACTAAATCCATCTAAATGTCACATTGCTGATTTCAGTTTCAGATGCGAACAAGACTTGCATGGACTGATTCAGTTGCATGATTCCTGTAATACTGACGCCACTGTGATAGGGAGTAAATCGAATATCTCTCATCTTGGCATCAGTTTCTCTTCACATCTCTGTTGGTTGTCTCACATTCTGTTGATTTCTAAGAAGATCTTCCGTTTGACTTATTTCACATTAAGAAAGCTGAGGCTTTCTGGCATAACTCAACCTCTTCTCTTACAATTAATAATTCGTGTATTCTGTCCATTCTCTTATTGTTCGCCATTATTCTTCCCTGGACTTCTCAAAAAAGACTTTGTCATATTACATAGAACACTTACTAACTAACTGACATTATTGTCAATAGGCACTTCAATTGTTGCAAGCATTTGGCTAAAGTTATCT